GGGTCTGTCTAAAAATTCTAAAGAAAACTGACAAAAGCGGCAAAGAAATATAAGTCCTTGGCCCAGGTTTTCTCCGGTCATTCAGATTTCCCTTTCAAGGTTTTCCATATTATAGTAAGCGGTCCTGCATCCCCCTAAGAAAAGATCTACGTTATACCTGAATGAAATTAGCATAATCTTACTGCAATCTGAATAATTCCGAATAATGTGCCGTCGAGTCTCGATGCAATATATACGAAAAACAATAAAAGACAATTTGCAACTGAATTTTGACTATCACAGACAACAGAACGGTGCTGATCTCTCACAAAAACAACCTACAACAAACAACCCTGCAACCTACAACCTACTACCAAAAAAACCTGCAACCTACAACCTATAAACCAACAGCCTGCAACTACTACCAAAAAAACCTACAACCTACAACCTACAACCAACAACCTGCAACCTACTACCAAAAACCAACAACCTGCAACCTACAACCAACAACCAACAACCTACAACAACAACCTGCAACCTAAACCTCCAACCAAACAACCACTAACAAGGACAAGACCCGCGATGCTGTGCAGGTGGGAGCGCGGACCGTCGACCAGCCTCCGCGCCCACAACCCAGCTTCGACCCGGGGAGACAGACCGATACTCGACCATGATCGATGTAGCGGTACACAGCGGTTAGTAATTGGAATAATTGCGGATTTGTATTCCCGTTCGCAGATGTTGGAGTGTCCAGTGAGGGGGGGGGGGGTTAGTCTGGTTAGCATGTGCCCCCTCCCCTCCCTCCTCCCCCTTCCGAAACCTGGGCAGGGAAGCAGCAGTTTGCCCAAATGCTTGTTTGAGCTTCCCTTAAATCAACAGGTCGTTATGGGTAACTGTCCGTCCTGGCGATTCCCTCGATGACTCCATGAGACCTAATTACAGGCGCGTTTCTACCCCCGACGACTACGATGACCCCGAGAGGTAGTCGGCGTATCGCTGCCACATCTTAATTCGATAAAGAGAGCGTATTGTATAGGCCTTTATTTTTACCTTCACTTTTCACAAAATTATCATTCTACTTTCTCTTTTCCTGCTTCTGAAAAATCGGATGTGTTGTGTCAAAAAGTTCAAATTTTTTTCTATCTCTCTCTCTCTCTCTCTCAAAATTTCATTCTCTGTCTGTCTTCCTCTCTCTCCCTCCCCCCCTCCCTCTCTCTCTCTCCTAATACACCTGAAAATCAGATAGGTTACTTAGAGGAAAATGCTGGGTCGGCACACACATCACCTGTACTGTGTCTGACATATTAAGGTTGTAGAAGCCACGCACACGCACTGACACCCACGCACGCTCCATGGAAACCAACCAGTCCGTCCAGTTCTCGCCAGAAGAGGGATAGTAAGAAGAAAAGAAAAAAAAGGAAAGGACGTAGAAGAAAGAATGATAAATCCTTAGAAAAGACCTAAATGAAGACATATCACACCCTATTTCGACCTTAGAAGAAAACACGATAACCCTTCCATAACCCTATCCCACCCACCCTCCACCCTCCACCCTTCCAACCCCTACCCTCACCCTTCCACCCCACCAACCCCACCCTCCACCTCCACCCCACCCCCCCTCACCCTCACCCCCTCCATCCACCATCCACCCCAACCCTCACCCTCCTCCAACCCTCACCCTCCACCCCCCACCCTCACCTACCACTCCACCCCCACCACCCACCCCTACCACCCTTCCACTCCCTCCCCCCCTCCCTCGACGTCCGCATAGGCCCCAAAGACGTAATCACATCACGGAGTTAATTCCAGCCTCGACTCTCACACACGATGGCATTTCCGACGCTGGCTCCGGGGGGGGGGGTGCGCTCCTCCGCTTGGCGCTCGTGTCTGGGAACCTTTGCTCGCCTCGACGAGTCTTTGTCTTCGTGTGGAGAGTGAGAGGGAGAGAGAGGGAAAAGAGGGAGGGAGAGGGATAAGGGGAGAGAGGGGGTAGGGAGAAAGGAGGAGGGAGAGGGAGAGGGAAAGAGAGGGAGAGGGGGCGTAGGGAGAAAGAAGGAGGGAGAGGGATAGGGAAAAGAGGGAGGGAGAGGGGGGTAGGGAGAAAGAAGAGGGAGGGATAGGGAAAAGAGGGAGGAAGAGGGATATGGGGAAAGGGGGGTAGGGAGAAGGACGGAGGGAAAGGGAGTGGAGTGAGAGAGAGGGGGGAGGGAGGCAGGGGAAGGTGAGGAGGAAATAGAGAGAAATGGTAGGGAGAGAGAGAGAGAGAGAGAGAGAGAGGAGAGAGAGAGAGATGAGAGAGAGAGAGAGAG